AATGGGATGAACAGATAAATGTTTGTAATTTAGAGAGGGTGAAAAGTTACTAAATTTGTTTATACTTGTTGTGCTGGAGGCTGGAAGTCACTTCTTTACATATTTCTTTTCTCTTTTTTTATTGTATTCTTACTTTTCTTTTTTCTGTCTTTTTCCTTGTACTTTTTACTCCTCTCTATTCTCTTTTCTTTCTCTAAGTTTAGTTTGTATTAGATGTTACTATTATAATCATAATAATATATAATATGTATGTTTACAGAAAGTCAGTAAAGGATCTCTGGGCTCCTAACTATGAAGGACTTTAAAGATGACAAATAGCACCTTGATTTGCATCTGGAAACCAACTAGCAACCAATGCAGCTCTTGGAATAGAGGTGTTATACGGTTGTCTCGAGCTGCACCCATCACAACCAGAGTCTCTGCATTCTAGACCAACTGAAGCTTCTCGATTCGCTTCAAAGGCAGCCCTATCTAGAGCAGCAGATCAACTGAGAGGTGACTAATATTTGGATGACAGTGACTAATGCCTGGTAGCCTAGGAAAGGTGGCAATTGGTACATAGATGGAGTTGTGCAATGGCCCTTTTGGCCACAGATGCCTTCTACTCTTCAACAGATGAAATCTAACCTTATGCAGATAGGTGATCTTGCCCAGAGTTTCATGTAGATGTTTCATGTAGGTGCAGGGAGACTGTTGAGCCCTGCAGCACCCCCCAATTAAGGGGCCTAGAACTTGATCTCTCCTACTTCCACCCAACTGAAACCAATATAATATAGTGCCCCCATTCCTAACCCTTGGTGACGGTTCAGTGGGATACCATGATCAATGCTACTGAAAGCCACTGAGCGATCAATAGGACCAGGAGGGCTGTACTGCCTCTAATCACGGTCCCATCAGAGATCACCAATAAGTGGGATCAGTGCTCTTTCCATGTGAACCTGGTCCTTGGCTTGACTGAAAAGGGTCCAAATAATCCATTATTCCAGGGCATATGCAACTGTATACTAACTCCTTTCTCCAATCTTGCCCCAACAGGGGCCATTAAATATCTCCATAATAGAAAGAATATTAAAAGTTCAAAAGTACTGTAACTATAGCAGTGTACATTTTGTTCAACACTGGAAGAAAGATACAATTCCAACAATATCTGATTGGGAACTTAAACTTGGAGAATATGCAGCAATGGAAAAACTAACAGCACAGAACTAACAAAACACAACAGAAGTCTAAGAATGGTTCCCATACATACAATACATCACACAGCATGGCAAATATAATCACTTCCAATCTGGCTTCTAAAGGGGCTTAAATGTCTACAATATGGAAAAGTAGCAGATGGAAAAAAAAGGGGGAAGATAGAAACCTAATAGTTCTTTTTCTTTTTCCCTTTTTAATTCTTTTTTGGTACTTTAATTTTGGTTAAATATGATCTGCTTATCTATTTTTCCTTTTGTTTCCTTTTGTTAATATGTAAAACAAATATGTATATGTATATGTGTATGCATATGTACATATAGCAATTATATAATAGAGACTTCAATACAGAGCAGTCAGCTCAAACCAAAACCTACACAGTATTACAAACATTTTGAGCAGTTATACAACGCAGCGTTCTCCTTTCTAATGTTATACTGTACTCCGTTCTGTCTGAAAAATTATTTTATGCTTATAATATCGATATCCTAAATTGTAATGAATATTGATAGAATATATCTTTCTCTTTTTCTCTATTTCCAATACTCCGAGTCATCTAAACAATACAATGTTAATAACTTTAATTAATACTGTACACGTATCATTGTCCTGAAACAATATAATGTGTCCCGATTTAGAACAATATAATAAAAAGGAAAAAAAAGTAACTACAGATCGATCGGATTTATGTATCTTGTCTAAGAGATCCAAAGAAAGTCTGCACATTTTAATGAAAAGTCAAATATCGTTTGTTGGCTTGTTTCATTCTAAGCATTTTAAAATGTTATGGGTACAACCTGAAAACATGTGGCACCTGATAGAGCTTAATATTTCCACTCCATTTCTACATGTTGTCTAAAAATGTAATTACGTACTGGCCCTAAGATTTGAATATCAGCCATCTCTTCTCCTTCCTTCTTCATTCATTTGGTATCTAGTCTCATAGAAAGTTATTGAGAATGGGAATGGGTCGCACATTTTTATGTGACTTGGTTGGCTTAATAAAGTGACTCTCCTAATATTTATCACTCTCTCTCTCCCAATGCATTGAGTTGCAATCCGTCCATCTTCATTCCTTTTTCCTTGCCTGGGAAACAGTAATTGTTTTTGCATATTTCTGTTTACAATAGATATTGTCATGACACAAAAACCTTTCCTAGCTATGGTTTAAAGGCATATGGTGCATCATTTTGGTTGAAGCTAATCAGGTCTAGGTATGGTGAGTGTATAAAAGAGGAACTTCTAGGAAGAAAGGCTGAGATTTTGATGTTATTATTATATTCATTATTGAATTTATACCCTGGTCTTCTGTTTGTACAAGCACTCATGGTGGCTTACAACAATAAAAGAATACAAATAAAAAAAAAACTTTATGACAATGATGCAATTAAAATCAAAGCCCAACATTAAAATCAGTATCGTTAAAATATTTAAGAATTAAAAATTTGGTGAACGAGCAGGCATGTCCGAGGATGGGGAGTCAAATCATCAAGATGGCAGGTATGGCTAGATAATCAAAGGCCCATTCTTTTTTACACGCATCACATGTAAAAGTGGGTGTGGCTTCAATTGCATAGTTGCAGTTGCCAACTTGACTTTTTGATCTCCCTCTGCGGACCCATCTGCACCCCAAGACATGCATTTCTACTTCATGATGTATTTATTACTTATCTCACTCCCATATTAATTCCCCTTGAAAACCATGGGGGAATTAAAAGGGGGGATTTACACATCCTTAAATATGCCCTCCCCCAATTAACTCCCCAACTTCTTCTCTTACCTTGTAACTTAGCCAGTTGAAGCAACCCAACGACAAGTAAAATGGGTGCAAAAGTCATAGTTACTCTCTGCGGTGATCTGAAAGTTCTCCCAAGTAGATCAGCTCCAGTCAATTTGGGACAACAGTTGTATTGTTTCAATCTCCAGTTCTTTTGGTATTGATTTAGTAAACTGTAACATAAAGAGTAAAGGGGTAGAAATCTAGAAATACCCGTTCTTTACAGCCTCTTGTTCAAGCAGGGACTCTAAGAGGCAATCTGTTGGTATCTGCATGGCAGCAGGGGTGCAGTGCAACCAAAATGAGTAGAAACAGAACCAGTTATGATGGAGTTTGCAGAACGGACTGAAGTCCACATGGACCTGAGCTGTAGACCATCAGAATGGCAAATCTTGATTCTTTTTTACATTGTGGAGCCTTCTTTTCAGTCACACAAGTGCCAGTCTCTCACATACAATTTGCAAATATATACAATAGGAAAACAGACATTAATAATGTTAGAGATTTATTTTTCATTAGATTTACATCTACAGCTACCATATTTTCTCAGAAAAAGTAAGGACAAACCTGAAAAAGGGGCAAATCTGAAAGAGATTCGTAAGGATGAAAAAAAATAATGTTTTATGTTTATAACTTTGCTTTACAAAGGCAAATTTAAGAGCAAAACCAAGAAAGTAAACAATTAAGTTAAATAAATCTAAAGGACAGCTTTCTAAAATAAAGGACAGTCCTTTATAATAAAGGACATATGGTCACTGTATTTATATCCTACTTTTTCTCTAGGAGTTCAAGTTAGTATAGCTTGCACTCCTTCATTCAATTTCTTCCCATAAGAATTTGAGGAAGCTCAGCTGCTAACTTTCAACCTCTCCAAACCCAACATCATAGCTACTATGCCACCCAGGCTCTCAAATAAATGTTCCTTTACTGTTAATTTTAGTGATGTGATTTAAAACTGGCAGTGGGTTGTTACCACCTCTGTTCAATGCTCTGCCAATTTTGCTTATTGCAGTTTCATTATCCCTGATTGATAGTTATTCACTCTTTGCTTAAATGGCTCCGGTGAAGAACAGCTCCTGACTCCTGAGGCTGTTTTACCACTGAACAGCTTGGCAGTTAAAAGCTTTTCCAGAGGTTTAGCTGAAACCTAATTCCTTACCATTTTTATCTGTTGGTTCTAAGTTCTACACTCTGGAGCAACAGCAAACAATTCTGTTCCACTTTCTTCTACATGACAACTTTTCAGATATGAAAAGTGACCACTTTGATGACCACTTTCATGGACCCTGTTCACTTTGTTCTTTCCAGTATTTGCATATCCAGTTCTTTTGGTTTTCTCATCAACCTTTGGGTGCCTCATTAATTGAAACATTAATGGGCAAATTAAAAGAATTTGGTGCATTAGCAGGCTTTAAGATTAATAAACAGAAGATGAAAATGTTAATAAAAAATATAAAAATACAAGATCAGATAGAATTGATGAATAAAAAGGGTTTTAAGATTGAGAAGATCAAATATCTGGGTATTACTTTGACAGATATGAACTGTATGTTATTTCAAAATAATTATGTTAAGACATGGAATGAAGTAAAAAAAAAGATGTTAAGATGGGAGAAGCTACAACTGTCATTGCTGGGGAGAATTTCTGTGATTAAGATGAATGTCTTGCCTAGAACGTTGTTTTTGTTTCAGACAATACTGTTTTGACAACTGATGCATCATTTAAACAATGGCAGAATGATATATCCAAATTTGTGTGGCAGGGCATTATTATATGCACAAAGATGTGCAGTAAGGTGTTACAAGATGCAAAGGAAAGAGGAGGATTGGGTTTACCTGATTTGAAATTGTATTTTGCAGCTTGCTGTTTGGTTTGGATGAAAGAGTGGGTGATTGGGTTTACCTGATTTGAAATTGTATTTTGCAGCTTGCTGTTTGGTTTGGATGAAAGAGTGGGTTCTGCTGAGGAATAGAAGACTTTTGTAGCTAGAAGGACATGACCTGAGATTTGGGTGGCATGGATATTTGTGGTACAACACAGTTAAGGTTAATGTAGATTTAAAAAATCATTATGTTAGACATGCCATACTAAGAATATAGAATAGATACAAACCCAGGTTGTGCCCAAAAACACCTTTGTGGCTCTCAGCCGAAGAAGCATTTTATAGATGAGAAATAATAAGCAAACATAAATGGCTAACCTATCATGAGATACTAGAATTTTGTCAAGGGGAAAGTAAAATAAAATCAAGAGAAGATCTGGTGGTGGAGAGATATACTTGTCAATGCTTTTCTTATTTACAATTATTAGAAAGATTTGAAGTAGACAAAATAATTCATGGTTTTGAACATTGTATGACTGAGTCTGAAATAGAACTGTGTACAAATGATGAACATGTAATCGCTAAAATATATAAACTTTTACTGAAATTTGAAATAGAAGAACATGTGAAAGAATATATGATAAAGTGGACTAAAATTTTTGGTTATAATATACAGATGGAACAATGGGAAATATGTGGCTGAAAGGATTGAAATTTACATGATGTTATAATCTTAAGGAGAATTTTTATAAAATGATGTATCGTTGGTATATATCACCAGAGAAATTGTCTAGAATGTATAAAGGTACCTCCAATTTATGCTAGAAATGTGAACAACAAGAAGAGACATTTTATCACGTTTGGTGGACATGTAGAAAAGCCAGAAAGTTCTGCATTCAAATACATACACTAATCCAAAGGATTTTAAAGATCAATATACAATTGAAACCGGAGGCTTTTCTTTTGAGACTGATGGACCAACAGTTGGAAAAAAGTCATGGAACTTTGTTTTTATACATGATAATTGCAGCAAGAATATTATATGCACAAAGATGGAGAGATTTGGTACTACCCACAATGGAGGAATGGTTGGTAAAGATGATGGAACTTGCTGAAATGGCCAAACTGACTTCTTTGATTAGAGAAAAGACAATGTCCATGTTTATTACTGACTGGAAACCCCTTATAGACTTTTTGTGTGAAACAGAAAAAATGAATTTATGATTTATGGTTTTGATGATTAGAAAGAATTAGATTATAGAAAAAATAGAGTTATACTGTAACCATAGAACAAGAGTTCTATAAATAAATTTATAATTGTACTTATAACTGCTGTAAGAAGATCAGAAGCTACTTCTTTGTATCTTTTTTCCATCTTTACTTTTGCACTTTTAGTTCTTTCTTTAATTTTCTTTTTTTCTTTGTCTTACTCTATATTAGTTTCTATTAGTTTTTATCTTCTTTCTTAAAACTTTTAACAAAGTTATAGATATAGGTGTAGATATAGATGATATATAGATATATAAAAACCTTTGGATGCCTCAAGATGAGGCTTATATTGTCTAATTGCTCTGACTTATAAACTCAGTGGCTGTGTTGGCACAACACACATAGCTCAGTTACTGAATTAACTTCTTTTTAGGGTTCTCGCAATACATTGAATCATAGATAAACCATAGTGGCTAATTCTGCACAACAGACTTAGATCCTTTACTGATCTGGTGAAATATATCTTGCAAATACACAACCATTTTTTTTGCCCAGGTGTGCATGTGCGTGTATTTTCAGATGATGACTTCTTCCATTTATAATTTACCTCAATTTTCCCACAATTGTTTCCTTCTTTAATTTTTTTGAATCACCAACATGCACATCCTCATACATAGGTAAAGATACAATAGCTGCAAAATATAGTCCTCTCTCTGGAAGGAATTATCCACTCCGACCTGATTGCCCTTGTTTAGATATCCCCTCTTGAATTGATTTCATTGGAAAGGATTAGACTGACTTTTGTCCCATCCTGAAGCTATTTCTAAAAGAAGAAAATCATGGGTCTCCCATATAATGACGACATTGCCTCTTTGGACCTCTCAATATTCTCTAGTACTGTCCTCTCTCCAGATACATCAATGCCCCTTCTTACCTGGTTCTTTCAGGATCTGGCAGAAATGATGATATACCTACTGACTTGGTCTTGGTTATAAAGAGCAATGGTCTTCAATAAATACCAAAATGCATGTTAGCGTTACATGTTACTAATCCTAAAAAAACTACCCTCCTGTTTTGAACAAAGAGATAACATATTTCAGTATTGTTTGACTGGCTCAGCATGTCAGAGATTTATTCTTCACAGCTGAATTAATGTGCTTTCCTCCATTCCTTGAGTTGGCAGAAAAGTATGCAGGCATCAACTATGCTGCCCCAATGGCCGAAACCTATCCTACCTCAGAACCGAGGCTGATGACGGATGCTGTCCTTATAGTTTTAATGTGCGACAAATTATAGAAAATCCTGTGTAAAAAATGGAGCAGCTAAAGATCACTTTAGGCTAAATTTTGAGAAGAAGAAAGTCATAGCTACGGTGTCAGAAAAGAATATTTTTCTTTACACTAACCCCAACTCTAATGTTTGGTGACACCATATCTGTAGAACTCTGGCTCAGGAAGGACCATGAAATAAGACATTATTAGAATCATAGCTTCCTCCTTTGATTCTGAGCTACGCAGAACTTTGGGAAGAGAAATAAGGTTAATGTAGAGGTCTGACACGAGAAATTATATGGGTTGCAAAGGAAGATGGCATTGTTTCAGTTTGTGAATTTCTTTTAAACATTTGATATGAATAATTAAATACATATTAGATTAGGATGAGGAAGAAGATAAAAGAACTCTTGTTGAGGTCAGTTTAGCTCTCTGAAATGGACCACTCTTGCTTATGGTTCAAATGTTTTAAATACAGTAGATGTTTCTTTCTTTTTAAGGTTGAGAAAACCCATTAATCAAATAATGTACAAGCCTTGACATAGAAATGTGTTAGTTACTTATGTGAATTCTTTGCCATGCTAAATTAACATTAAAATCTTTTGATACTGTTTTTCTCTGTGAAAGAAAAAGGATACTTTATCCCTCAGAGACTGATTGAAAGATAAATAATATGTATTTAAGACCCCAGAGAGTCATGTTCTCAGGGAGGTAAGATGATATACTTTAAACTTTAAGTATGCTGTTGAATTAATGGTTAACGTAAAACAAAGACTTACAAACAAAATTTTTAATACAGAGGGATCACTCATAGGACCTGGTTACTCTAGACTGGAAAGTAAAGAAAAAATAAATTCCAGAAGAAGGCAGTGACAAACTACTTCTCTATAATTGCCAAGAAAACTACACCCAGATCTGTCCATAAAAATCACAGAGTTAATCTTAACCTGAAGGAGTCTTTACTTTGTTCACACTGATTGAAACTAGACCAGAGTGTAGTGAACAGGTTTGAATCCAACTCACACTTTACTACCTGAAGGAGCACCTTTTCTCATGTTTCTATTGGGACCTCCTCCAGGTCCCCCCAATACAAAGGGAGGTGAAGTGTTCTCTACAAGGAAGAAACCATTTTTTATGGTGACACTCTAATTATGGAATTTCCAGACAGGCTCAATTGGAGTTCATTTTAGCATCATTTCTGCACCAAACAAAGACCTTTCTATTTTCCCAAGCTTTTTAGAGAAGTTGGAACAGATTGTTTGGTATTTGGTGGGAACCAGACCCAGGATCCTAGAAGAAGTTTAGTAAGGTTATAATGTTATGCTTTGTATGAATCCCCTGGCAAGAGAGAGGGGTTCTAATAAATGTGAAATTAAGATCTAGGTCTCTGGAGAAGTCTCTAATGCTGGGAAAGGTAGAAGAAAATCGAAGAAGAGGATGACTAGCAGCAAGGTGGATGGATTCAGTTACAGTGGCAATGGGTGCCATTGGAAAATCTGAAAGACCAGGTTAGGGACAGATTGTCATGGAGAAAATCTATCTATGAGGTTGCTAAGAGTTGACAACAACTTGATGGCACATAATTAATTAATAAGATCTAGGATTCCTAAGTACACAGGAGTGGGGCCTTAGTATATTTAAAAATGGGACATTGAGAACTTTTTATGTTACTCTGTACACTACAACAAGGAAAAGAGTACCAGATCTTCTGAGCTCCTTCCCTGAGAATCAGGTTGGGTCTACATGGTTGGAGAAATGGGTTCTCTGGAATCTGTCTTGCACATTTAGCTGGATTCCTGATTTTTATCTGCTTTTAGATAAAGCCAGCTTCTTAGACCTGTTATGACCTTGATTGCCTTCCTACTGTATATATGATTGATCCTTCTTAATCACTGGAATTTCTGCATGTGAGTGAAGAGACTGGGATCATGGCCAGGAAAGAAATGGTCTTCTTATATAACTTCTGAAGAAATGCGAGTACAAGTGATGCTTCATGCATGTATTGCTCTAATTCTTTTCTGTATGCTTGATCACTGTACACTGTACACTCCTCTTTAAATAAAATATGAAACAAAACCCAAATGAAGTAAAACATAATTTTAAAAAATTCAGAAGATCCTGAGAACAATTCTAAATGTTCTAATCATTGGCACCTGATCTGGTCCACCTGCTTCTAATTTTAGGTATTTGAGGTAGTGATAAATGTAGGCGTGTACTTACTTTTTTCACATGGAAAATTTGCTTTTAGGTTTATTTAAATTATTTAAATTAAATTAATTAATTAAATTATTTAAATTACATAATGGACTACAATAATGAAAATGGTACATGATATTTGTTATATTCTATCCCTTTTGTCTGTTAATATTGTTGAAATGAAGATCAAATATCTGTATCCTGAAATACGTTGAAAAAGTAAAAAAAAAAATCAATGAGGTGTACTTACTTTTTCATATGACTGTAGTCTGCCACATATACTAGGGGTGGGGAACCAGCAGTGATCATCCTCTTTCGGGAGCTGCAGCTAAGTCTGTATCACTGGATTTGGTAGTAAGCTTTTTTGTTTTTTTAAAGACAAATGAAGACTGAAATAGGTGCATCAACCCCAGCCCCCCCAAGGAGAGGTGAAAATACTGGGCTTACTCTTTCTTGAAATATCGCTAAATCACCATGTACCCCTTTTATTTTTTAGAAGTTAAGAAAAAGTATGCTCCTCAGCATTAAAGAGATTGTTTGCTTTTATTCTAAAATAACTAGAATGAGAAAGGAGATTATTTGATGTATCTGGCTAACATTAGGCATCTTCTTTAGATCCTCCTTCAATGTATTCCATATAGTAGTGCTCTTTTTTACAGATTTGTTTGAAAAAAGTAAATGTTCAAAAATTTATTTTAATTTATTTTAAATTCTCAGGAAATTTGAAATTTAAAACTCTCCATACATTATATTTTTGTATGAAATGAAGGAATTCTCTATCCCAGTTATTCTGGGATTATTCTGTTAGATGAAATATCTATCAAAACATTAATTTGACTTGCTGAACACAGAGCAGCTGTGGAAACCTGGAAATTTAAGGTTACCTGGTTGTAAATTCTAAAAGATTTTCACTGTAATTTGACCCATTTTTAAAAAAAATTATAAAGAGTGCACATGTTTTAGTGAATCAACCAATACAATCCGGATTAGGATTTCTCATACATTTAGACATTCACACATGCTGTCCCGCTTATTAACAATCACACTTCTCGTGCTACCTGTAGGGACACGTCTGCCACACTCTCCCCCTTGCTATCGAAATCCACAGGGTCACGGGATTACTCCTAGCCTGTGACTGGGGGCAGCTGGAAGAGAAGTGACGCACAGTCCTAGTCTACAGTGGGAATTGATAATGGAACAAGCACTCACATACTCAACGGGAACAGGTTTTGGAGAACCAAAAACAATTCTCTAAACAGTGACAAAATGTATTAGTTAACAAACTAAAAACAGCTCCACACATTCACACAATACTTACCTCACACACACATAAACGAACCCTCTATACCAGCTTGATCAGGCCCTGGTAAGGGGGGAATGGGAACCAATGGGTCTAGATGTACACAAGATGGACGGACGGATGATGAGATCCTTGCTGGCTCTCCAGATGGACTGATGGAACCTTGGCCCTTTCAGAGTTCTGACTTTTATACAGTCTGTATTGCTGGGCAACCTTGACTTATGCAAGAAATTCAGGGATATTACATAAGCCGTCTGAATATGTCATTCCGGCAACGTCACTGATGAAACCCCTCCTTCCCACCTTCGTGCCTGTACTGCACTGGTTTTCAAACTATATAAATAAATAATAAATATTTACTTTACACAGATCATGATATTTAATATGGGAAAGTCTGTTCCTCCCTTCATATACATGTAGGCCTAAGTACATTTGTTTGCTGTAATTTTTGTTTTGGATGTCAGGAAAGTTAAATAATTAGTTTGTCCTCCTTTCCCCCCCCATTTGTCCTCCTTTCCAATAGTCTGTGTCCTCCTTTGCCTCTTCAGATATCTAGAACCCTAGTTTGGGCTTTCAGTGTGGTTTGGAAAATTTGACCTGGATTCACAGATCAATAATTTTAATAATTCTATTTGGAATTTTGAATCAGTTTGGGAAAAAGTGCATTTGGGCATGTGTAAACATTGCCAGATCTCTGAAATAGGGGCAAATCTTTCAGAATCAATTCAGAGGGATTTGATTCTAATTTATTCAGAAAGTCTAACTGATCAAAATGCTTCTCTGAACTAAATATTGCATGCTCTTAATGTTTAATTAGAAGTAAGTAGGAGTTCAATGATGTTTACTCTCCAGTAAGTAAATACAAATTTGCAAGTGTATGGTTCAATCCTCTGTACCTTTACTCAAAAGTATAACTGAATTTTAATGATTATTACACTTGAGAAAGTGTGCAATGAATATCAGCTTAGAAGTTGGAGAAAAGTACTTTAGAATGTTTTCTTTATTATGTTTCCTTCCCCAGTTTTAATCTTACCCCTGTTCTAAATTCTTTCCTAGAGGCAAATGAATTATTTACAAGTAAGAAAATCACACATTCCCAGACTGAATCCTTCATCCAATTCAACAGCAGGTTGATCACCTAATTTGAGAACAGGTAAATCTGAGATTTCTCTGGAAACAAGTACGCTAAAAAAATAGTGCTTTTCACTCTGGAGAAGTCATAACATTTATTTTATTAATCCGTACTGGAAGTTAGGTCAGGATTTTGTTATTGCTCAAGTTTTACAAGGAAATTAGGACAAGGTTGCAGAAGTCATATTCTCTTATCAGTGAATAAGGAATGTACGGTTCCTTAGTGTTGGACTTGATCCAAGGAGGCAACAGTTCAAATCCCATTCAGCTGCAAAGCTAACAAGATGGCTTTGGAATTAACACTGAGTTACATCTTGATATCTTTACTTCTAAGTGACTGCTGTATATTCCCTAGTGGGAGCAAAAAGTTTAAATAAATCAAAGCAATAAATGCTAATAATATATTTGAGGGATGGATTGCAGCACTTAATTAATTAATCTCCCTGCTGGCTCCTGAAATGATTGTTAGTTTCTGGTTTAGAAAGATATGTTGAGCTACACTTTAGAGAAAGGGCAAAATTAGGGCCAAGGGCTACCAAAGAATTTCTGAGTGGACGTTGTTTTTTTCACTTCTGTACAGCTATGAAGAAGTTGTGTAAGCAGAAGAACTCTGATTATTGATGAGAATCATGGCACTAGGACTAGTAGAATCTGTCAAAGCCATTTTCATTTTATTTCTTATTCTGGTGATAAACTCTTTCCATTTCTATTCTAGTGGATATCTATGGAGATTCTGAGGTCGCGTGATTCCTTTTATTTTGTTTTTAATGTGATTCTGAAAGGCCCTTGGTCTGTGTGCAAAGCGACTCCTGGTTCCTGTCTGGCATTCTGAATTGCTTCATTGATCGAAATTTGAAGTAATCAGGACGTTTTGGACTCTTTTCCACATCTTTAAGAGAACCAAGGCTGGCTTGTAAATAATATAACACAAGTAAATCCTGTAACGCTTTTTAAGCAATCTATAACAAACAGAATGGACAAGGCTTACTATCAGGACCGGATTTCTTTTTTTGGAAGGGGCATGTCATTAATTTGTATGTACGGTACCTCTGTTTTTTAGGCAAATGCCAGTGCTGACCCATACCTTATCAAGGGATTTTATTCACAGATAACTAACCTGGTCCATTTGAAAATACTCTCCCTTTTTATGCACTATCCAAAGAAGAAGGTAAAATATTGTTGCTCCTGATTGTTCCAGGTTCCATACAGATGCAAGATCAGCTCTTTGCTCCCCCAAAGTTTACTGTCTAAATCAAGCCAAATGATGCCTTTTTCAAATTCTGGATTTCAAGTCACATCAATAGCCATCGGGTAAAAACCACATTTATCATGCCATCATATAAAATACGTTAATTCTATAATTTGGATCAGTTTTGTCATGGTAAAACTGAGGCAAATTAATTTACATTATGTTCTTTACCTGAAGATGTCATGTTGCCTGTGAGGTCACTTACTCCCCCATGGACATTTACATTCCCATCCCATAATTATTTTAATGTACTTACATGAAATTTAACCCACTTTTCATTTTTATAAAACAAATTCCAAAATTCATTTGTGGAACAAACAATCTAAAGAGTTAATGCATGAAGGAAAATGTCTAAAATAATGTGCTTCAAAGCAAAAACAGCTATATAGTAACATATTGATTTTTACAGAGCAGTTGCAGGGCAGGAGCGAAGTTTAAAGATGAATGTCTGTTATATATACATTTAAATAATTAATGTAGTTTGGGTAAATTTACGTCTCTGCAATGTAAATTTGGATAAATGACATTGTTTGTCTGGACTTCTCAGAAAACAACAGACTTGGTTAGTTGGGGGTGAAGTCTGAGCTAAAATTTAGTCAAGCGAAGAAGGCAATTCGGGCAAAGGAATACCCAAATGTTAAAGATTGCACTATTAGGGTATTGTCAGAACCTGCAGCAATCAAAATATATATCAACTAGAGAACTGTTTTACTAGCATGGTAAATGCCATCTGTGTACTTTGATTTTAGTAAATGCTTTTTGCTTGCTTTGATTCTGCCATTCTCAATGATGGGGGGCGGGGGGGGGAGTGAAAGAAGACAGAGCCGGCGCAAGATAGGAGGCCAGGAAGAAGACGTAAAAGTAGAGGGAAAATTACGCGGGCTTTAGTTTTAGCAATGGTTTGCTTAGAGCTGCATGTACCCTCCAATAACTGAAATCTTTTCTGAACCTACTTTGGGTTTCAAGAGATTTTTCTATATTGGGGTTTGAACATCGTAGACCTGACAGGAATTTCTGTACTGAAAAGTGGCTGTTGGTTGACATTTGAACTAAATGTAGAAATCCTGCTGTAGTCAGTATCAATTAGCTGCCGTTGATATACAAAGGGCATTCATATGTAAAAACATTAGGGAAGATAGGAAACAGTGCCCTGCTGAAGAACCATGTTCTTGCCATTACATAAATGTGACAACTCAATAAAGTGCAGTGGATTATACATGCATTTACATACATGTACATGGAAATGTGGATATGGTTACATTCATATGCATATCCCTTTTGAGCTACACAACAGCTAATTACTATACAGAGTCAGGCTGCAAATGAAACCTAGTACTGTCAAAGGAGAAAATCATAAAAAGTAGCTATGACCCTTGTACAGCTGGCAGATGTGAAACAAGTTAGTGTACTTAAGTCCCAACAGTAGGATAATGATTTCCTTGAGTGAGCTGGCTGCTCCCAGTTTTTATTCAGTCCAAGTCTAATCACGCCATTTATGCAAAAAAGTTCCAATGCGTAGGCTCTGTGCTGGAATCTGCTTTGAAGATTGTTCCAGTACAACAGAAGTGGGCCCATCCTCCTCCTCCTCCTCCTCCTCCTCCAGCAGAATAGAAGAGAAAGAACTGGAGAAAATCATAAAATATGAAGACCTACAAATAGAAGTAGAACACCTATGGCAAAAGAAAACAAAGATAATACCAATAGTTATAGGCACGCTGGGTGCAATCCCAAAACATATGGAGCACCACTTGAACACCGTCGGCATTGAGAAAATCACCATCAGTCAATTGCAAAAGGCAGTTTTACTTGGAACAGTTCACATCCTGCAGTGATACCTTTAATATTATTAAACAATTTCTGCCTATCCCAGATCCTTGGGAAGGACTTGATAGGTTGACAAAAATGCTAAATTCAGTCTAAACATTTGGCTGACTGTGCAACCAACCATAATAATAATAGATCAAAACCATGAGAAATCTCATAAAGCCATTGAATTACATAAGATATTACTAATCTTCCCCCAAGATCTCACGTAAGAATGCTGAACTGTGATTTCCTGAGATTTGGAAGGTGTTTTTTCTCTTTTAAATTTTTAAAATTTCAATGTTGCAGTTCCACAAGTGACAAGGTTACATTGCTATTTTCACTTGTTAATTGCTCTGTGCTTTTTGGTAGAAGGACACTGCTCAGGAGTGCTCGGGAATCCTATACCCCATTGAAAGGCATTTGGCAATTAGAGCAATCTTACCAACCTGGGGTCCTCCAGATATATTAGAGCACAGGTGGGAATTTTGAGAGTCCCCAGTGCCTCTAGAGAATACCACACTGGGAATGGTGAACAAGGGGACAAGGTTTGTAGGAAGGGGCAATGATTTTTGTTCAATTAATTTTTCATATCATCCTTTTCTTTTTCTTTTTGTTATTTGTATTTCTTTTGCGAATGTCCTTTACTCTATATCATATCCCTCTGCTTTCTGTAGGGTGCTCAGACTCAATGATTTAAATGCAGACGTTCTTGTTACCCTAGAATGTGACACAGCAATGATTTTTGGAGCCCTGGTAGGAAAAAAAGTGTAGGTGGAGATACATACATACATACATACATACATACATACATACATACATACATACATAAAAGCAAATGTCTCCTTGGGTTATTCTGGGAAAATAAACTGTTGAACTGAGAAAGTAAACTGGAATGACTGCTGAAATTAACTCTGTACTGGTAGTGCTGCTGAAAAAAAGTAAATTTCCCAATATAAATTGGAACAATGATAAAACCTTGCTGTCATAAAACCTGTGGTTACTTATTCATCGCTCAGGGCAGTTATATAAAATTTGCCACTAATTCCAAAATGAATGGGACTGCAACCGCTCTTTACCATAGGTTTTCCTTTCCTTGGCATCTGAGAGCACCTGGTAGGAGAAGGTTGATATGCAGGCATCATATTTCTGCATCCAGACCAGCACTAGGTTTTTCTCCCCTGCTTCTTTGGAAACCACAACTTGTTCTGAGAAATGGTACATATCTCTGGAAACTACAATTGCCCACACTTAGATGAGTGTGACGCCAAAGACTGACCAGGCTAAAACCGGACAGAAGGCCGGTAAGGCGTGGTTATTGGAGGGGACAAGAGAGAGCAGGCCAGGTGGGCAGACAGGTTGGATCACATTCTTCCAGGAAGCTGCCAGGAAGTGGCTGCCTTTTTAAAAATTAATTTTGCACGCTCCTAGATTTTCACTGAAGCAAACCTGGAGTGTTACAGGTTGGAAATCACCCTGCTTCCTTGGAGTTGAGGCAGGGGCCCTGCTTCACTATGAGAAGAGCTGTCTCTGCTTTCTTTTGCCTTTTCGTGCTTTCTCTAACACAGGGTAAGTAATTTTGCCCTTGGTGAGTTTGTGTATGCGTTTGTGTAAGATCCTGTTTCTCTGAATTAAAGAAAGGAGGTTGCTGATTTATAGCAGATGTCTCACATTAGGCCTTCTCCCGGGAAGGGACTCGGATTACAACAGTGCAGTTCCTATACTTGAATTGTATTCTTAGGACTAGTAAGGTGGAGTAAGAGCTAGTGATCAGAACATCCCTTCCACATCAGGCAGTATTTCTTTAGAAACACTCGTCTTTGCATTTGCACATACAGTCTTGGGATGATCGCAGACCAGCTCAGGAATGGGGTCTAGCAGTTGAAGGAGAAAGAAAGAGTATCTGTGGCCTTTCTTTTCTCTTTTAGATGTTTTTAAGGAAGTCTGACTTAACCGAGCCTAGAATTCTTATCCTTCTGCTTTTTGTGTTTGTGATGGGGTGGAAATGAAGGCAGGCAATGGAGGTGTCCTACTGTTTGCAAAGCCTGTTCCTGCGTAGGCTTGTCAGCCGGGTGGGTGACCGAGGATTCAGAGCAGTGTGGGTTTCTTTGCCCTGAAATTAGGTATATTTATGCATGCATGTTGAGAAAGGTAAGTTCAAGAAGGAAAATGGATGATGGGAACATTCTCAGATTCAGGCCCTAAGCTCTTGATTTAGGACTTTTATCTCTGGAAATAGACTGGCACAGCGTGTGTGATAATAATTGCCAGTTGTCCTTTTAGTGGCTGGCCTGTCTTCCAACCTGGAAACAAGGTGTTTTAAAATGGGAAGAGACTGCTCCTTTGTTTCTCTCTCACCCTGTACATCTACATTTATGGGCACATGTGGGCAATATTGCCTTTTTGGCTGTAACACTCTGTGAGATCTTCTAATCCAGAAGGGTCAGTTTACCTCCCACTTTAACAGGGTTTCATGTTGACCTTTAATTTCCTCAGCTGGGCCAGACAATCCCAACCCTTTCATGAGGCCCTCAGCCCTGATGGAACTGAGCAGCCTGGCCTTCAACCATGAGAAGTCAATGAGGATTTATGACTAGAGTAAATTAGTGGTCTTTTTTATTCTTTCATATTGTGTTTCATCTGAACTGAGGCGTACCCGCTTTTTGCAAAAAATGCTGCATGGAGAGTTTATTGGGTCCTGGTCATTTACTCAGATTAATCCTCTTTTATACACTGCATTTATTTATATACTCTTGCTTCTCTGTTTTAGCTACCAAGAAAAGGCAACAACTCCCCCTTCCTTGCAAAATCCATCAACCACGGTTGTTGTATAAAACTTAGTACAAATCAGGGTTACCACAAATTGTAGGCAAGGTGATTAAGCTTTGGATGTGAGAGTTCACGTGGCTGAATGTGCTATCATGTCAAGCTAAAGGCATGTCCCATAGAAAGCTAGAGTGTTAGTGAAAACGATTGTGGTATATTTTTTTCTCTAATACATTAGTTCTCTATTTTTTGGAATGCAAGACATAGAAGTGCACATTGTTATCCTCCAATTGCAGATCTTTCAGATATCACTGTTTATTAGGGAAACCATTTATTTGTCTCTGAAAAAAAAAATCTGTCTTGGGTTGAGATTAAGATGTAGTTCACCACCAACTAATCTTACTGAAATTGATATCACGGATATGAATGAGATTTACTTCTACATACCCCTGTACAGAATTGTGCTGTTAATTGCACTTTGCTTTCACTGAAATCCATAGGATTGATGCTATGACTGGTTTATGGCACTGAATTCAGTAAAATCTAATTTTCATTTGTTCTTATATTTGGACAGTTTTGCCTGAGGGCAATGCCCTATTGAACTTGTTTACTAAGTTTTTTGGTTGAGTTGAGCCCTTCCTGGGGTTTCTGAGTAAAACCTTTGTGTCAGAGGGAAGGGAATGCATGTTATAAATAAAGGTGAAAGCAGGAGCAAGAAGTTCAAATCTTCCACCTGCCCATATTTACCAGATCAAAATTGTGTGCGTTCCTATGTGCATGTATATATCCATAACCTGTCTCCAATGTACACGTGAACAAGTGGGCACATGTTTTTGTTGCACATGTAAGCAAGATGCAGCACTGTACCCATTTCATACTCTTATTCCATATACCAGCAAGGCTGATTCTGAAACGCTGACTTATCAGCTGCCAGAACAATGTATGCTTTGTTTTCAACATCTTTGAAAAGTGCTCAAGCCTATTCAATTCCAGATCAAGAGCTATTTGTACTAGTGGAATCCTTACAGGTTTGGGAGGAGGACAATTTTGCTAATCTCTCCTGTTGTTTGGGAGAATTATAGATACTGTAGAAATGCTCTAGGCTAGAAATGTAGGTTGGAAAGGTTAAGGTCGAAGGAATCCAAAAGGATTAATTACATATTTACAATGCGAATATTCCATCAACAGCACAGACAGGCTCTTCAGAACTCTACAAGGGGGACAGGATTAATAAAGAGCAGAGGAAAGTCTGCAGAGAAAGACAGCAAACAATTCCACAGTCCTTCTTCAAAGGATTGATGAACTGTTCCTTCTTGTAAGTGGATAAACTGCTATTCCATCTCTCTTCTTCATTCTGGCCTTTTATGGATAAAGCAAAGATTAAAAGAAGTGGAACTTTCTGGGCCCAAGGCAAACCTCCCAAATGGGGCCCCCAGTGGTGAATGAGTTCAGGGCTGGGTCTCCATGCTCCGACGGGGACCACTGAGGAAGGCCAGTAGAAAGGGAAGAAAATAAGGTGGCTGCTGCTTCCTTTCTGGTGCCACCACAGGAGCAGTGGGTCTGGTCCTTGGGAAGGTCGCTGCTGCTGGACCATTAGACTCAGGAGGGACTTCTCTTCCCCTCTCATTCAGAATATGGCCATATGTGCCTGCAGGATGTACAGAATATCCCCTCCACTCAGAGCCCCCCACCTCCAAGTTTGACCACCTGAAAGTCCCTCTTAGATGTACCAAATCTGGACTGCAACAATCTGCATCAACGCTAGATGGCAGCAAAGAGTTAGGGTGGTCCCGATTTCTTTGCTGTCACCTAGGGTCCTGGATTTTGCAACTCCAGTCTGGTTTGCCTCTTCCCTTATTCCTTCACAAGCAGGGGAAGAGGAAGCTTGAGTGGCCAGCATTGAGCATTGGGGAAGCCACCAGGGACTCCAAGGATTCCTCTCCCACTGCTTGCCACTGTTGCTGAGGGGACAGCTGACTCAAGAGGGGCTTTTCCCTCCTCTCTTCCTCTTTCCCTCCTTCTAGGCCTCTTGCAACATGGTACTACAAGTCCCATGAGACTTTGCAGCAGACAGGAAGAGGAGGAGAGAGAGAAACCAAGTACCGTAGTAGAAAACTGCTTTGTTGAAACCTGGTATGTAATGCAGTAAAGAGTTTACAGCTTACTCTCACTGAAGAGCTTCCTAAGAAAGAAAACAACACTTCGCTTCTGCTTCTCTTGGGACTCTGTGCTTAGGCTCCCATGTCTGGGCTGCAGAAAACTGGATTAGGCTAGATATAGAATATCTGCCCTCCAGCATCCAAATCCAGTGGTTGTTTGGATTTTGGCCACACAGATATACTAGCCCTGTCCCCATCTGAGGAGGCTTGTTGAAGGCATGGAGCAAGCAGAAGGAGACAACTGGGAACTCACTCAGGTCTCCTCTGGCTGCAAGTCCCAAGATGGCTGCTTACTCTGCCTTCACTATATTTACACCACCGAAGTCTCAAAAGTTTGGATTTGCTTCTATTAGCATTCAAGGACATCTGCTTCATCTCAGAAAGCCGCAGGTTTGATTCTAATGGGAATCAGACAATTGCAACGGGCCCCCCTATCCTCGCAAAATAACTCCCAAGAAAATAAGGATTTAAAATGGAAGACGTTCTTTCTGCGCAAAGTATTTGAAAGAGGTGATTCACAAGGTGTGTTAGTGCAAACAAGCTACACTTCTCGTGCATTAAAGCAGCTTCAGAGCTCATGTGGCTGCTTTGAGAGCTGGTCCTGGTGGTCCATGCAACAATTCTCCTGGAACTGCCAACTAAATGAAGTGGTGGTATGTGCGTGGCTGGGTAGTGATAGCTGGGGACAACTTCTGAAGCAGCAGTGAGAACCTTCCAGCTTTAAGGACTGAAGAGCTCACCTTGACTTCTCCTCACTGCAGCACAAATGCGATCCGGTAACAGAATTGTCTTGCTTTTATTTCACTCTCAGCTCACAGCTGAGACAGCTTAATGTCGTCTTAAGCAGTTCCAATTTTAAAAGTAGCATTTTCCTCTTCTGACACATTTCTTGACATGGAAGTGATTTAGTATGTTTGTTTGACAGCCTGGTCAAAGCTGGGATCTGCTCAGCTCCAATGGGTCACTTTAGCTGCTTCATGGGCTCTTCCTCCACTCTGGTCGATGGGCATCCCTGTTTTGCCTCTGGTTACAGGAGAGACTCCACACCTGGCTTCATTTGCCAGATGTTATGCATGCTTCTATATACATGGGTTTAGTGCTCTTTCAAAAGAGGGTGAGATCTGCATGAAAAAAGGGACTCTTAAAAATGATAGATCTGTGCTGTGTTTGATCTAAACCAGGAAGGAGAACTGGGATCTGCCAACTGCATGTTACTGGTTCTGTTAACAATGTGTGCCTTACAGGTTTTTCATTGTTTCTGCAGATGTGGGGTTTTGGCTGGCTGGACAGGCAGTGCTATTTTCCTACTCCACCAGCTACTTCGGGTGCGTCTGCCACAGCCACTGGCTGCCAATGCTGCAGTTCCCTTTCAGCGCAAGCCGAGGACAGAGCTCAGTTCTTAATGTTGCTTCCTGCTTCACCCTGCACCCCACCTCCATGCCTCTGGCCCGTCAGCCAGGCTATTTTGGGACAAGGCTTTAGTGCTTTTCCACAAAAGCACTACCTTTGTGTTCAGGAATAAGGGGATTGACAGGTACCTGGTGCAGATCACCACCGCCCCTGCAACACATTAATTGCACAACTTGTGGCAAAGAGTGGCTAAAGCAGCTGTTCAGTGCACCCAGCCTCCTCTGTTCCAACCCCACCATACATTAGGGAGAGCAATTAGGGTTTTTTCCCTCTCTTCCTGATGCTCAGTTGGAACAGAAACAAAGCTTGGTGAATCTTTCAATAGACAAAATAGAGCTTGGCAGCTGGGACCAGGCCCTCCCCCTGCCGGGCATTTCTGGTTGTACAGGTAGTCCTCAGTTAAGGATGGCAATTGGCACTGGAATTTCCATCATGGTCATAAAGTGTGATATCACGTGACCATGCTGCTTAGCGCCAGAAAGTCCGGCATTTCTGGTTGCTGTCGTTAAGCAAATCCTGTGATGTCGTTAAGTGTGACATCACATGGTCACCATTTGCGACCTCCTGCCGGTTTATCCATTGACTTTGCTTGTCGGAAGCTGGCAAGGAAGATCACAAATGGTGATCATGTGGCTGTGGGATGCTGCAATGACCAGAATCTTGAGGACCGGTCATAAGGACCCTCATTCAGCACTGTCCTTTTTCCTAGGAGTGGGGCAGGTCACACTGTCCTCCATTGATAGGTCTCTTTCCTACTATTCATTCTGTCTTTTTTTCTAGGAAAAAAAGCCCTCAGGAAGGAAAATCCAGAATTGCTCCACAGACTTACAAGACTTGCTCTATATAAGTTACACAATGTTTTAGCTAGCTGCAATAAATATTGCAAACATTCCAACTTCTAAAGTTGCTAACTCATTTTGGGTTGTTTCTTTGTTGTTAATTTTCAGGACACCTGTTCATCAATACCCAGTCAGTATCATTATAAACGAAAACAGCTAAATGAGTGATTTTTTTTGCTCTCTTTGACGTCAGTTCTCAGGCAGAAGGGTGTGAACTGCAGTCTTCAGGCTGTCATCACCTGAAAGTCACTTTGCATTAGCATGTTATTTTTCACATCAGTTTTGCTTAGTTTTCCTTCCTGGTTCTTATACCTAACTGTCTGGTTCTCCAACTTTACAGATATTTTGTTTTCCTTCTTTGCACAGGTGCTCTGAAAAATGAAATTCAAAACAGTATCACTCATCCTAAACAGCTGCTTATGTGTTTACTTTGCAGCAAACATGCATGTTTCTGTCCATCTGCTGTGAAAATAATCTGCTTTCTCTGTGATATGCATGCCTTTGTTGTTGCAATTAAAGGGTTTCCAAAGATCAAATAGACCCAATCAGTGCCAAAGTATTTTACAGATAACTTTTGGCCTAGACAAACCTTTGTTATAAAGCCTATTAGCTATTTCATTTGGGGTGGTGATGGAGGTTTTCAGACAAACCATTCAAGAGTGTTGAAGGAGCCCACAAAGAGATAGTTGTAAGGCTGTTAGTTTGTTTGGTGCTTCGTTTATTATTTTTATAATTTGCAATCCAAGCTCAGAGGCAGCATTTAGCTAATTTTGATAAAGCAAATCAGGGCTGGATCTTCTTAGCACTTGGATGGGGGACCACCAGGAAATCTAGAGCAGTAGGATAGACAGGGAAGTAAGGCAAAACACATCCTAGAGGAAGAAAATGGGCCCTCTTTCTACCATTGCCAAGAAAATGACATGGGTGTGTAACTTGAGTCAAGGAAGGCTTTACCTATTTTACTTTGCACTTTGCCCAAGGGTGATGTACAATACATGTCAGCCCCACTAAGTAGACCATACCAGGAAATCAATTCCACAGGGATACTAGAACTACTTTTACTGAGATTGGTTATAATAATATAATCTTGCAAGTCTGATTGTGCTGTACATTTCCCCTTCTTATATCCCAGCGAATCTGAGAGATGTCTGCATGAGCTGCTTCCGAATATTATCTTTTTTCCCAGGGCTTGAAAAAATGTTTCGGCCCCCTTTGCCTAGGTAATGGTCCCTGCATATTTCCATCAAGGTCACCTTCCTTACTCTGTAATATCTACAATATTGAAACCTAATCTAAACCAGCTTTTGCTAACCCAAGGAACAGAGGAGCAAAGTACATGCAAAGCTGAGAATAGCACGAACAAGGAAAAGATATCGCTAAACCTAGAGCATTAAAAGCACAGAAGCATAGATTTGCTGGCCTTTGGAAAGCAGACAAAGGAAGGAGCAAATTTACTTTTCTGAGGAGGGATTTAACCCCGAGTAGGAAGTAAGTCGAGAGCCAATTTAGTGTGGTGGTGAAGGCATCAGCCTAGAAACTGGGAGATCATGAGTTCTAGTCCTGCCTAGGCACAAAGCCAGCTGGGTGACTTTGGGCCACTCACTCTTTCTCAGCCCTAGGAAGAAAAAGGGCCGTGGCAAACCACTTCCAAAATATCTTGCCAAGAAAACTGCAGGCAGTTTTCCGAGAATCAGACACAATTGAATGGATTAAAAAAAAAGAGTAAGTCACCTATCCCTATTTTGCCAGTGACAAAGTCAGTGGGATGAAAGCAGCATTAAGGTGGCCACTAATATCAGGGATGGGCAACCAATAGCTGCTGGGTCTGTATGTGGCCTTCTGCCTCCCTTTTGTGCCCCCCATAAGGCCCCCAAGTACTGTTGCTGAAATTTGGTGGTAAAAACTTTTGGTAGACATAACATACTAAATTGGGATAGAAGTAACATTTAATACCTAACAAACTGGCTGAAATGTTAGCTGGATCAGCAGGGTGTCTCCTCTAGCCCTTGGAGGCCAATATGTTCAAGTGGAAGCCCTTTCCTTAATACAGTTTAGAAAGGGCGTTAAAACTTAAATCCTTCTTGGGATCCTTTTGTGCTGCTGTTTATATATGTACATCTTAAATATTAGAGATCTTTATCATGTAAGTTACCCAGGACCATTCAGGAAGAGGCGGCGTATAGCTATATAAATTAATCAAATAAAATTCAAAATAAAATAAAATAAATAAAATAAAATATGCCTCTTGCCTGCCCCGACTTATCCATTGTTCCAAAAATTGCAAGAATAGAAATACTAGCTTCTGATTTTTTTTTACTGGAATTGGAAGAAACATACAAGATGGGTGCCTTATGACCCACTGCTTTTAATTTTTTAAAGCTTTCCCTTAGCATGCCATAAATATCTTTTACTAGGAAGCAATACCCTGTTGGTCTGATCTGGAGCTTCTAGATGCAGGGCAGATAAACTTTAAGCTGGTCCAGCAGGTTTTCTCCTATTTACTTGCTACTTTTAAGACTACTGTTAACTACTGTTACTGCAAAGTAGAAGTGAGAAACTTTCTGCAATCAACACTGACTTGAAGGCACTTCCCTCCCCCCAAAAAGTAGGAGCTAAATTTTAATTTCTTTCTTTTTTTTTTGTCCCAAAGAGTTGCAAGGAATGGAGCCATTGATGTCATGATTATCATCAAGGCAATTGATTCAACTTGTTTTGGGTGGGTGGGTGTGAAGATTAAATAATTCATCCTTTTTACTGTTAAACCCGCCAATAGAAATCAGTCCTTTTCTTTTGGAAAAAATTGCTTTAGAAAAAATGTGGAAGAGATGACTTAATCCTTTGTAGGACATTTCATTCCTTAACATATTTCCATGCCCTCCCCCCCGAATTCCCCTAAAATGGGCTAAAAGTTTTGAACCTGCCCATTTAGGAAAGGACCAAGAGAGTTGGGGACTCCAAACAGTTCCCCCTTTAATAAGAACTTGGTCAATTTGCATTAAATCAATATGTGAGCTAAAATGCAGTTAGAATCTTAGGTATTTGCAGTTTATAGATTTTTGAATGAGCTATATCAAAATGTATACCTATACATATGAGGGAAAATTCACCACAAGAATGTTTATATTAGTGAATACAACAAAAAGAGTGGTCAAAGGAAAACTAGTAATAAAGAAATGCCTCTATTTAGAGAAATATATGCAAAATGCATATGATTTTTTGAGTAAACTATGGAAGAACTGGAATGGAACAAACTGAGGACTGGGGGCAGGGGATGGGTGATGAGAAACGGGAAAATTTACTGTTTTCTCCATCCTTATAATTGATTTGTATGAAATGAGAAAACAAATAGGAGGGAACTATTTTGTTTGAACCCCAAATGTTAAACTGCATAGTCTATCCCACATTTGCTACTAGAACATCTGTTTCATAGAAGGCAGACTAGTGAGGCTTGAAGTCAAGCCTTGACCTTGAGGCTAAGTAGAAGACATTTGCTTGGAAGCTAGTTGAGATCTCTTTGCTCCACCTACCTTAAGGGTGGTTGTGAAGATTGAAAAGAGGTCTATGTAAGCAACGGGGGGAAAAGGAAGGATAGCCGCGACATGAAGACAACAAAAAGATAACTGGCTTTCAAAAAGGTTATCATGATCATCTTAAAAAAGAAGGACTGGAAAAGGTTATACAAATACACAAAGGGTGACCCGTATCTTTCAATGCTGACTAAGTTTCAGCAGTCTGGTAGGTGTGTGTCGCACATAAGGAACAGGTAGAGCGTTGATGGCATCGTTGTGGCTGCCATGTTGACTTTTTTAACCAGACCCTGCAAATGCCCGTCAGTTCCCTTCTAGTCTATAACCCAGGCTTATATTCACCTCCCAAAATAATCCCAGCTGGGAAAAAATGCTAAAGACGGAGGGATAGCAAGTCTCTTTGTAAGCTTTATTTGTGTTTTAACCCCACCACCCACTTTTTATACAGTATGATTGGGACTGGAATGTGAAAATGCAGCTTTGCCCTTGCCTGTATATTAGGGACAAGGACATTTTTGTGACATGGTGGTGACACAGTGATGTCGCCAGAGGGGGCAGAGCCAAGCTTTTTTGCTGTCCTCCCATATTTAGGATTTTTAAATAGCAAAGTAGGTGCGCTATTCTAGATGGGGCTCAAGTGCTCCTATTTTGGTAGACGGTTCAAAATTGAAAAATTGTCCGCTGCTGAATTTTAATGCAGAGCTCTGAGAAGTCTGGGGACTACCCCATACCCGCACATACACGTAAAGTTATGAGGTCTGCATTCAGCCCCATGGGCTTCCCACTCCTGTATAACTTAGCACCTTACTTACAAACGGATTAACTGGGGACACTCATGGGGAGTTTAATAATAACAGGATGGCAGCCCTGCCTTTTTTACATGTGTCATACATGCCAGCCATGTAAAAAAAGAAAAAGGCTTCAGTTGTGTGACCGGAGTCACTATCCTGCCTTTTTTGACTCCTGCCATGGACGCATCTGTGATTAATAAACGAATAATCCAATTGAACAGATGTGTCATTGGTTAGAAAATAATATAGAGAGACTTCAGCTTTAAAATCAAAGTCACAGCCTTCAGTTTAAGATTAGAAGACAGGTTTGTTCGTTTGTTTTTTTCGGGTTCATTCTCATCTCAGTTTTACTTACTCAGAGAATCACATGCCTGTTTCTTCTCTTCCTCATTTCTTTCTAGGACATGATGAGAATGGCACTCAAACAGGTAAGTGATTAACCATAAGAGTAACAAGGGGGCTTTCTCATTTATAGATGAGTTTCCGACAAGCGAACACGATTAAAGCAAGGAAGATTTAGCACAGTGTTTCTCAACCTTGGCACCTTTCAGGTGTGTGGACATCAACTCCCAGAATTCTGGCTGGGGAATTCTGGGAATTGAAGTCCACACACCTGAAAGCTGCCAAGGTTGAGAAACACGGATTTAGCAGCTCCATGAGGGAGGCGTTGCAGGAACAACTTCATTAAAAACAATTTAACTTAAAAACTCTCCTGAATTAGCATATGTGGGCCCTCTCAGGTTTAACATCTGTGCCTACCTCCCTTCTGCACTCTGTCCCTGTTTATGGCAAGTGCAAACTGTGGGGTTTTGCATTAGCAAAGACCTGTGCTTGTTTCAGCCAGGCAAAAGAACAACCGCCTGCCGTTTCTTCTTCATGAAACGTGCGCCTTTTGTTTCAAGGGTGGGTGGACCGTGTTTTGTCCAGCCGTGGGGTGGAGGTCATGCGTTAACTCTGAACATTTTGCAGCTTCCAAAGATCAGCAAGGGAGTGGCTAGTTGCACGATGATGTCATGGGGGGATTAGGGCAGAAAAAATTAAGCACTTCCTTGTCAGGAGTCATGACAACAAACGTCAGGGTCACAGCCTTGAAAACTGATTATTTTGCTTGCGTATTTCATGAGTGGGATGTGGGGACCCCAAAAATGAGATTAGGGGCCCGTAGGGGCTCTGAATAATCCACACATACCCTAGGATGATCCTCATATTCAGACCTCGACAGGGAATGGGGCCTGGCAGTTTAGAGGTGCTATTTGGCAGAGCAGATGGGGGCACTGGTAGGGAAAGGGGGTTCATCAGAGTGGGATCTGACAAAGTGGAACAAATCAACACTTTTTTTTTAATTTTTAGAATATTTTTATTAGAATTTTTCAATACAATAAAAATAAATGAAAAGAAAGAAAAAGAGAATAAAGAAAATAATAATAAAATAGAAAACATACAATTATGCCTTCTGCTCTTCTCTCTATTGAGTAATTATCTTAAACTTTCCCCCATCCTCTTCATGCCTTTTTAGTTCCCACAAATCAATACTATTTGAATAAGGAAAGGATTCAGTGTTTCTATCCGTTTGGGGAATTGTTCAGTATTTTATTTTTTATTATATAACCCTGTGGTAATTTTCGTGGAGTGCATATACCATCACTCCGAACCCAATCAAATAAGATTGGTTGAATGGCCTAAGACTGGATGATGGCCAGAACAGATGTTCTCAGAGCGTTCTTGGCTTTGCAAGTGTGGATGAATTTTTTCTGCAATGCATTTTGGTGGAGAAGTGGATAGTTAAGTAAATTGGTCATCACAGATGAATTGGTTGCCAAGGTAAATTAGTCCAAAATTTGTTCCTAGAATCTGACAGACTAGCAGATAGTGCTAACAGCATATATTAATTTCTTCTGCAACCCAGTGTTATTTTAGGATTGGCTCCCAGCCTCCCTTTCTATGCCTTCTAGAGCTCTCCAAAATAACCAACGTTCAATGGCAACCTGCCAAACACTATAATTTTCCATTTTTAAAACATGAAAATGCCAATGTTGTATTGTTATGTTGTTATTTTTTCTGTGTTTTTATTTTGACACCTACCCAGCGTCACTGGGACTCAGGTAGTCCTCATCATCATCATCACCACCGTCATCACCATCTTTATCTTTTAAACCCCCCAAATTGTACATAAGTGGGACTACCCCAGTTCTAAACGTTTGTCCATTCTTGTGTTAATTGTTTGGTGTTTGGGTATCTCTTCACTTTTGTTTCTTATTCTGATAATTTACAATCCAGAAAACCCTAAAATGGTGGGCCCATCTTCCATTTTCTACAACTTTTATGTTTTTTTTCTCTCTCTCTCTTGCACACATGCATGTTTTGCCAGTGTGTGGGCAGGTAGTGAATCAGAACCGTATTGTGGGGGGAGAAGATGCATCTCAGGATGCTTGGCCATGGCAAGTCAGCCTCCAATACCAAAAGAAGCACGTCTGTGGGGCGACCGTCATCAGCTCTGAATGGTTACTGACAGCGGCCCACTGCTTCCCTAAGTGAGTAAGTGTGAGAAGAACCTGATGTAGAATTGCACAGGCTTCAGCTCTAACTGCATAAGCAGCCATGTACTGGAGGCATATAAAAGCAAGCATATAAGGTTCCCCGTCTTACATGTTCAGAAAAGAAGCTGCTGGTTCTGAGAGGGCTGTTTATTATGTATGCCATCTTGCTTCAACCTGGGCCCTCCAGAAGTGGTGGACCCAATTCCTGGGAAACCTGAAAATTGTAGGCCAACCTATCTAGTAGGGAGCCAGATTAAGGAAGTTTGAAGTACAGCAAAGCAAGCAAACAATGAAGCTCAGAGAGCACCAAGGAATATATGTAGCTCAGCCCTGGGCTACATATATTCTCTTCTATTGGAATAATGACTGGGAAACCCTGGATAATCAGGAGGTATGGAAAATGGGTGGAATGGCTGGATTTTTCAAGTGAAAACTCTTCACCCTCAAATATTGAGTCAGGTCCTAACTGGAATGGATAACTGAAGGCAAGTGCTGCAGGATTTTCCTGAAAGGCCTGATTCTTAATTGTTGCTCCCAACAGGAATGCAGAACTCTCTAACTACAAAGCCAACTTGGGAAACTACCAGCTCTTGAATGCAGACCCAAATGCTGTGTGGCTGAGACTGTCCCAAGTGATTGTCCATGAGAACTATAGTGGAGATGGATCCAGTGGGGATATAGCACTGGCTCAGCTAGAGCAACCTGTACGTTTCACCCAAGGCATCCTTCCAGCCTGTCTCCCAGATGCCAAAGTCCAATTTCCAAATGGCACCCTTTGCTGGGTGACTGGGTGGGGATCACCTGCATATGGAGGTAAGGAAGGTTGTGGGATGAAGACCTGAAGAAGAGAAAGTAGTTGTGCTTTAGCCCAGAGAACTCCTGGATTCTAATCAGATGAACCAAAAGAGGAAATGTGAGGAAAACGATTACATTGCATGGTATTCTGGGACCTAGCTGAGAGTCTTTAAAATCCGATGTTGTTTGTATTTCCTTTGTATCAAGATTACTCGGCATGTCTGTCAAAGGGTGGTGTAAAATAAGAATCCCTACCATAAATAAATAAGTATTGGTAGGCAAATAAGACCTTAAGCGGCATGTGGTTAAGAGGAAAGTTTTTGGTTTAGAAGAGTTTAGTGGGATTTCAATATTTAGAAGGTGGAAATCAACACAAAGCTTAGAATTGGCTGGTATAGGACTAAAATATCTGCTCCCCCCCTTGTTTTTACTGTCTCTACTATAAACGTATGGAAGCCAAATATCAATTGGGACCACAGGAAAAGTAGACAAGAAAGCCATATGCTTTCCAAATTTCCCTGCTGCATCTGTCTGTCTGTCTGTCTCCATCCCCATGTGGACATGTTTTTTTTAAAAAAAAAAAAAAAATACCCCCCCCCCC